TTTTCCTCTATAAACAACCACCTTTCACTATTGTTACAATGCAAAAATGATGAGCAGAAAAGATACTGAACGTAAGAACTTACAAGCATATCTGGAAGAGGAATCTTTATTTTCGTAAGCATTATTTCGCAGTTATTTGCTCTTCGCAGGTCAACCTATAGAAACACACAAAAAAGAAGATTAGACTGAAAGATAAGCAAACTAAGAGGCAAATATTGTAATCATGTATCACTTATACATTTGAGGACTAAATGTAATCTGCAATGTTTATCAATTGTCAACTTTTTCTAGCACCCAAAGCTAGTTATATATCATCATATCCTCTGGTTAATATATGCTATATAGTTGTAGGTGATGCCTGCGTAATTGATCCACACTTGGTAATTTTTGGTTTACAAACTGTCATTTCATATAATAAATTATACATGTATACAAACGTGAAATTGAGCTGCCTCACCAGTTGAACTTTCTCAGGTTTGCTGATACTAGAACCCCGGCGACCTGTGGATTTCTTAGCAGTGGTATCTGAAACTGCAGAAAAAAGACTCTCGAGCTCTGATATATCTATTTCAGGGGGCCTGTCATGAAGATTAGTAAAATTCATCTTATCAGTTCCAAAAAAGTAGCAGCTAACAGAGGACAAGCAAAAATTGCAAGACAGAACTAGAAAGACGGTTGACATTTGTTTTGTTTCGGAGACCATAAATGTCAAGTTAAAACATATAAATAAACAGAAAAACACAAAGGGGAACCCACCGTGGTTGATTTTCCTGTTTCTGAGTATCAGCCCACAAACTACCTTTTACTGGCCGAGTAACCTTAGACCAATGCAAAGGTTTTAGCACGGTTTTCTTAGGTGCAGCAGTAGGAACACTCACGCCTCGGCCTCTTCCAAGTCCCGAGGAAGCTCTGCCCCTTCCTGCAGGAGGAGGTGGTGGTGGTGCAGTTAAACCTTTTGCTCCCAGTTGTGGTGGGCCACTACCTGTACCATGACCCAGCCCTGGTGGAGGAGGAGGAGCAGGGGCCTTGGATAGAGGTGGTGGAGGCGGAGCAGGGGTCTTGGATAGTGGTGGTGGTGGAGGTGGAGGGGGAGCACCCAACTTTGTAGATGAAGTAGGAAGTGGCGGAGGAGGTGGTGGCTTAGGGGCATTTGAAATATTAGCCCTCGGGGGAGGAGGTGGTGGCTTAGGG